AAAGACCTACAGAAATCTCTGGCACATACTAACATTTTTGTTGACACAGCTACAATAAGGAAAACATTAAACAAGAATGGAGTACATGGGAGGACACCACGGAGGAAGCCATTGCTGTCCAAAAAGAACATTGCAGCACGTTTGAAGTTTGCAAAAGAGCACCTGGATGTTCCACAGCACTACTGGCAAAATATACTGTGGACAGATGAAACCAGGATTGAGTTGTTTTGGGAAGAACAAACAACAATGTGTGGGAAAAAAAAGGCACTCACACCAACATCAAAACTCATCCCCACTGTAAAACATGGCGGAGGGAGCATCATGGTTTGGGGCTGCTTTGCTGCCTCAGGGCCTGGACGGTTTGTTGTCATTGATTAGAAAATGAATTCCAGAGTTTATCAAGACATTTTGCAGGAAAACGTACGACCACCCTCAGTCCGCCAACTGAAGCTCCGCAGAGGTCAATGGGTGATGCAACAGGACAATAACCCAAAGCATACAAGTAATTCAAACAAAACAATGGCTGCAACAGCACAGAATACGCCTTCAAGGTGGACTAATGGCCCAGTCTCTCCAAGGAGAAGAGAAGAAGACAATGGGTGGTCTCCTATAGCAGTGCATAAATCACAATGCAGTGACCTCAACCCGATTGAAATGCTGTGGCATGACCTTAAGAGAGCAATTCACACCAGACATCCCAAGAATATTGCTACACTGAAAAACAGTTTTGTGAAGAGGAGTGGTCCAAAATGACTCCAGATCATTGTGCAGGTCTGATCTGCAACTACAGGAAACGTTTGGTTGAGGTTATTGCTGCCAAAGGAGGGTCAACCAGTTATTAAGTCCAAAGGTTCACATACTTTTTCCTCTCTGCACTGTGAATGTTTACATGTTATGTGCAATTAAAACCATTGCAACATCTAATGTTTGTGTAGTATTACGTTCAGCAGACTGTGTTCTTCTATTGTTGTGACTTAGATGACATTCAAGCACATTTTATGCCCAATTCATGCAAAACTCCACGTAATCCCAGAGGGGTTCACATACTTTTTCTTGCAACTGTATGTACAGTGCCAAGTAGGGTGGACCTTAATCCTGCATGTCACGCATATGCATACATGGCGGTTGAGGTTTCTGTGCTAAGAGCGCGATCACACCCTGCTTCCAGCACAGTGACTGAGCTGTCACCAACATTTTTGTTTTTGGCTTTAATACTTTACCTGTGATAAGTGTGCGGACTTACAGCAGGTAAGGCCTCATTCACACAGGCGTACCTATCTATACACTTGGGAAGGGTCGTGTTTGCTCGCCTGGGAATCACAGGTGTTCTGCGCACCCACATTCAGGTAGTCACATTCATATCTCTTGAGATGCAGAGGCTGCAGGGACACAGCCATTGCTCCCAATTTGACATCTGTGTGGGTGCATGTACCTGATCACACACTGGGGTTGATTTACTAAAGGCAAATAGTCCAAGTGCAGTTGCTCTAGATTTGAGGGGAAGCTCTGAAATGAAGGGAAGTTCTTCTGATTTCTATCATCCAATCATGTGCAAGGAAAAATGCTGTTTTTATTTTCCTTGCATGTGATGGGGTATTCTTTACAAAGTGACGTTTTACCTCATTTATTAAACTCTGGAGCAACTGCACTTCCAATGCCCTTGCAAGTGCACAAAATATTTGCCTTTAGTAAATCAACACTGCTGTCAGAGAAGTGCACCCGCACCCACATGGCTGTCAAATTTGGTGTGTCAATGCAGCCGCTGCGTCCCAGTAGAGCAAGAATGGGATTACCTGCATGCAGTTGTGTGGAACACCCTTTGGACTTGTGTATAGATAGGCATGCCCATGTGAATGGGGCCTTAACTGGTGGATCCACACAAAAAAACTCACCCCATGAAACAGATCCTGGGACCTTTTTAAGTGACTCATCAGCAGGGATAATCTATATGGACCTGTTCATCACTCTCTCAAATAATATTAGTACTTTTTATTACCATAGTCCTTTAATTGCACTCAGCCTATTAAACACCCTATGACCTCAATTTCATCCTGTATGAGGGTGACAACCACCTACGAGAACTAAACTTTGTGCGCTGAGGTCAAAAACGGTCAAGGAGGATAAACTGTCATAATAAACTCCTTAGACCCCATAATGTACTGTACCTCTTAGCTCACAAAGCCACAAAAGTCAATTGAGATCACAATCAAGGTGCTTTAATGGATGCCTCAAGGTGACAACACTAATTTCTGCGAGTGTTGGCTCTCCAAGGAGAAGAGAAGAAGACAATGGGTGGTCTCCTATAGACAATAGCAGTGAAAGGGATAAGAGTTTACCTGGTTCATAAATCACACTTGGACTGTCATAATAAACGCCTTAGACCCCATAATGCCTGCACGCAGATGTGCGGAACACACATTAGATGTGTGTACAGATAGGCATGCCCATGTGAATGGGGCCTTAACTGGTGGATCCACAAAAAAAACTCACCCCGTGAAACAGATCCTGGGACCTTTTTTAAGTGACTCATCAGCAGGGATAATCTATATGGACCTGTCCATCACTCTCTCAAAAATTATTAGTACTTTTTATTACCATAGTCCTTTAATTGTACTCAGCCTATTAAACACCCTATGACCTCAATTTCATCCTGTATGAGGGTGACAACCATCTACGAGAACTAAACTTTGTGCGCTGAGGTCAAAAACGGTCAAGGAGGATAAAATGTCATAATAAACACCTTAGACCCCAAAATGCCTGCACGCAGATGTGCGGAACACCAATTGGATGTGTGTACAAATAGGCATGCCTATGTGAATGGGGCCTTAACTGGTGGATCCACAAAAAATTCACCCCGTGAAACAGATCCTGGGACCTTTTTAAGTGACTCATCAACTGGGATAATAACCTATATGGACCTGTTCATCACTCTCTCAAATAATATTAGTACTTTTTATTACCATAGTCCTTTAATTGTACTCAGCCTAATAAACACCCTATGACCTCAATTTCATCCTGTACGAGGGTGACAACCACCTACGAGAACTAAACTTTGTGCGCTGAGGTCAAAAACGGTCAAGGAGGATAAAATGTCATAATAAACTCCTTAAACCCCATAATGCCTGCACGCAGATGTGCGGAACACCCATTGGATGTGTGTACAAATAGGCATGCCTATGTGAATGGGGCCTTAACTGGTGGATCCACAAAAAAACTCACCACATGAAACAGATCCTGGGACCTTTTTAAGTGACTCATCAGCGGGGATAATAATCTATATGGATCTGTTCATCAATCTCTCAAATAATATTAGTACGTTTTTATTTCCATAGTCCTTTAATTGTACTCAGCCTATTAAACACCCTGGGACCTCAATTTCATCCTGTACGAGGGTGACAACCACTTACGAGAACTAAACTTTGTGCGCTGAGGTCAAAAGCAGTCAAGAAGGATAAAATGTCATAATAAACTCCTTAAACCCCATAATGCCTGCACGCAGATGTGCGGAACACCCATTGGATGTGTGTACAAATAGGCATGCCCATGTGAATGGGGCCTTAATTGGTGGATCCACAAAACATTCACCCCGTGAAACAGATCCTGGGACCTTTTTATGTGACTCATCAACTGTGATAATCTATATGGACCTGTTCATCAATCTCAAATAATATTAGTACTTTTTATTTCCATAGTCCTTTAATTGTACTCAGCCTGCTAAACACCCTATGACCTCAATTTCATCCTGTATGAGGGTGACAACCACTTACGAGAACTAAACTTTGTGCGCTGAGGTCAAAAACGGTCAAGGAGGATAAACTGTCATAATAAACTCCTTAGACCCCATAATGTACTGTACCTCTTAGCTCACAAAGCCACAAAAGTCAATTGAGATCACAATCAAGGTGCTTTAATGGATGCCTCGAGGTGACAACACTAATTTCTGCGAGTGTTGGCTCTCCAATGAGAAGAGAAGAAGACAGTGTGTGGTCTCCTATAGACAATAGCAGTGAAAGGGATAAGAGTTTACCTGGTTCATAAATCACACTTGGACTGTCAGCGCTGTAACATGTCCTGACGGGCCACCTACAGCTGTATACACACAGTGAGCGCAGGCCGGTCAGAGACAGCAGCAGATGTAATGAGGTATGAGATGACAGCAACTACACACGCAGGTGCCGCTCTCCCACAAGTCCTGTCAGCCGGCCGGACTGATGAGGTGTGCGACCGAGAGGTGTGTGCCGGAGGCCTGCTGAGTGCAGACGAAAACATGACCCAGGTTATTTTAATCTTTAAAAAAGAAAATAAACCCTTTACACTCGCTGGGAGCTAAAAAAAGGAAATTCTAAATCTGTTTTTAAGTGATTCTGCCCGTGTGGCTTTGAGGGTGATGTCACCCAGACACATTTCATGGTAGGCGGGAGAAGGTGTTGAGCGTTTTGGTGCTGACGGGTAAAGGTGAAAAGGTAACACTCTAAGGCGGCACGCAGAATTCATTAGAAAGAACCTATGGTGTGGCTCAACTTGTACATACATACATTTGTGGGTATATTTTACTCATTTTAATAGGTCCATGCTGTTATCAGCATGTATTAGTTTAATATTAATATGATTGTTATTATTTAAAAAATTTTTTTTTAATTTTTAATATTCGTGAATTTTACCCATTTGATAAACCTAAAGTAGTTCTAGAGTCAAAAGGCTTTTTACCCTAATGCATTACTTGCATTAACCCCCCTGGCGGTATTCCCGAGTGTAGCTCGGGGTAAAGTTTCAGTACCACAAGTGGTAACCCCGAGCTACACTCGGACTTACCATGCGGCGCTGCTCCGGGATCCCTCGATCACTTACCTTGTCCTGCGCTCCCGCGATGTCCCTCTTGCAGTGTCCCTGGCAATGTAATCTGGCGGATGCCGGCATCTGTCTTCTGGGTTCCGTTCCCTGCGACGTCGGGACGTACGGGGGACGGAACAGCGGGAAATTTTAAAATGACAAAAAGTGACATTCACTAAAATCACATAGTATAACATTCCTGTATCAAACCATTTCACATACATTTGTCCCGAGTGTTTTTGTCCAGCACCCTGCCTGCATTTTTACTGTTCTTTCTGCCTGGAAACTGAGAAATGTCCATGGCGTCCAAAAAGCGTCCCTTTAGGTCAAAAGCGGGTTTAGACCAGCTAGAGAACAGCGATAGTAAATTAGAACCACTTGCAGAATTGAGTGATAATGATTCGTGGGGGAAATTCGTCATCAGACACTGAAAACGATTCTGCGACTTTGCTCAGTGATGTGCGAACTTGGCGCTATATTTCAAATTTCAGTGTTTTTGGTTTGATTATATTATTGAATTACATTTATTATTATTATTTTATTATTTTTTATGATTATTTATAAAGTTTTAATTTATGATTTTGTGTTTCAAATTGTAACATACCCGGGATGTTTACTAGACTCTTGTTCGTACAGATTTCAGTGAGTTATTCCTAAAAATTACAGGTCACAATAAAAAAAAAATATATATTTCCATGCAAAAAAATATACCGCGTTGAGCACAGAAATATGGACATAATCAGACCGCTAGGGAGGTTAAGGTAAAAAAAACTACCACTCGCTGCTTGTACCCCCTCCCTCTCCACTCCCTAATACTTACCTGAGTCTTCTCTTGATCCAGCACTGTGCCCATCTGCAGCAGTGCTGGTCTCTCTTCCTGCTCTCACCGGACATACTATTAGCAGCAGGCGTCATTGGTTTTGGCTACTGTCAATCAAATCCAGTGAGAATGCAGTGGGGGGGTGTGGCTGAGTTTCTTTCTGTGTGTCTATGGATGCACACAGCCCGCTTTGCACATATCTTGCTATGGGGGTACACTCAGAAGAGGAGAATTGGAAAGTGCCTTCGGAAGACTCCAGAAGAGGTGATAAGGGGCATTATTCGTGCACACAGAAGGTATGTGTAAACCTCTTTTGTCATTTTAGGTAAAAAAAAAAAAAAAAAAAGACCTACAGTAACACAAATATGCGGCCTCACTGCCCTGGGCTTTATACCATGGGGCTGGATATTTGTGTATCTCCCCTTGTGCCACACGGCATGCTCCCAGCACAGAGACCGGGGTCTCACCGTGAGCCCCAGGTCCCGTACTAACAATTGGGACCTGAAACTCCCCGATTCCGGATCACCTGATTGGCTATCACAGTGATCAGTCACTGTGAAGCGCCCCCCTTGTGGTTTTTTCTCCCTGAATGGAGGATAAAGATACTTTGTATCTCTCTCTGTCCTTTCAGAGAGAGAAAAAAAACAACAATTTGTAAAATAAATAAATATATATATATAAAAAAATAAAATAAAGAAAAAACAACAAAAAAAAAAATACCTAGATCAATGTTTGATCTAGGTTAGTGCCAGGGTTAGTGTTTGGGTCAAGTAAGGGTCAGTATATTTTGGGCAGGATTTCTTTTTTAATTTGTAACAGTGTCAGTTAGTGTCAGTGTGTTTTAGGTAGAGCCAATAAAAAAAAAAACAAAATTCGCACTATAACTACATAGGTTATGGTACTAACAAGAAACGTACAGCTAAATTTAAATAAAATGATTTTTTTGTACTATTTTGGGCCAGTTTTCCTTTGATAATAAAAACAAAATTAGGAGATATCCATTACCATTTACCACCAAATGAAAGCCCGATTTATCCTGTAAAAAACAAGGTATAATCCACCTGGATGTACAAAGTAGTTGTGATGATATGAACAGATTTATTAACACAAAATTGCAAAATTGAACTTAGGCATTAGGATTTGTTTTACCCTTAGGCGTGAAGGGGTTAATATCACTTTTATTGGTATGTTTTATTATTCATATGCTCTTATTTGTCTGAGGCCCTTGTATATTTATTATTCATTCAATTTTATCTGACATTCATTTTTATACATCCAATACTATTGGGTATTTAGTTTTAACTCTGACCCTGAGGAGGTGATATTGTAATAATATTGTATTGATATGGAGATGTAATTTGTTTTTTTTTCTAGGGTATTTTTGGACCCCCCAAACATGTTGTCCCCCTGACTTTATCAAAATAAAGTTGTACCTGGACTTGGTGGTGGTGTGGAGCTTCAATATAACATTTTTGTTACATTTTGCTACAAGCCAAGGAGATTGTGAAGATCCTCTGCCATGTAGAAGCTGTCTGCCTGAGATCCATATTATTTACTGTACTGTACAAAAGTTTTAGGCAGGTGCAGGGGCGGACTGACCATTTGGAAACTTGGGCACTGCCCGAGGGCCCGGGGTCAATAGGGGGCCCCATGAGATGCCCCTGGTACCTTTTTCATAGGCTTTTTTGAGTTTGGGCAAGGACGCAGGGGCCCCATGATCCCCTATTGCCCGGGGGCCCCATGAGTTGTCAGTCCACCCCATGGGCAGGTGTGAAAAAATGCTGTAAATGAATAATGATTTCAGAAATAGAAGTGATAATAGTTTATTGTTTAACAAAATGAAAAAAAAAAAGTAAATGACCAGAAGAGAATATTCAAAACAGCAACAATTCTTCTAGGTACACTTTCACACAGTTTTTGCAGGAACTCGGCAGGTAGGTTGTTCCAAACATCTTGGAGAACTAACCACAGATCTTCTTTTGATGTAGGCTGCCTCATATTCTCATGTTTCTTCATGTAATCCCAGACAGACCCATGATGTTGAGCTCAGGGCTCTGTGGGGGCCAAACCATCACTTCCAGGACTCCATGTTCTTCTTTACGCACGCTGAAGATAGTTCTTAAAGACATTGGCTGTATGTTTGGGGTTGTTGTTCTGCTGCAGAATAAATTTGGGGTCAATCACAGGCCTCCATGATGGTATGGCATGATGGATATGTATCTGCTTGTATTTCTCAGCATTGGTGGTTTGACCCACACAGAGACCTGATCTCAACATCATCAAGCCTGTCTGAGATTATATGAAGAGATAGAAGGATTTGAGGCAGCCTACATCCACCAAAGATGTGGTTAATTCTCCAAGATGTTGGGAACAACCTACCTGCCGAGTTCCTTCAAAAACTGTGTGCAAGTGTACCTGAAATGATTGAAGAATTTATGCTGTTTTGAAGGCAAAGGGTGGTCACACCAGATATTGATTTGATTTGGATTTCTCATCTTCTTCATTTACTTTTTTTTTTTACAATTTTTCTTACTTGATAAAAAAAAACTATTAACACTTCAATCTCTGAAAGCTTTCTTAACCACCTCCCGTCCGGCCGTTGTATATAAACGGCCAGACATAGTCAGTGCAGGGTCGGGTGGCTATCTATGAACGGCCTCCCCCCGCCCCCTGCTTGTGCGCACTCCCTGGGAGCGCTGAGCACCGCGATCCGGTGCCCGCTGTGTCCTCCGGACACAGTGGAACACCGATCGTCGTACGGGACCTCTGTGCAAGGTCCCGATCATGTGATCACTGATTGGCCAATCAGTGATCACATGCAGAGTAATAAGCAAGATGTCACTTCTGACATCATTGCTTACTACGTGTGAAATCTGCGAATGATCACAGAGGTCACATGGTACAAGGCTATTCACAACAACCTTGTACCATGTGACAAGTTGTGACCAATCACAGCTCACACAGTAGATCTCAATGGCTGCAAGCAGGGGCGGACTGACCATTTGGAAACTTGGGCACTGCCCAAGGGCCCGGGGTCAGTAGGGGGCCCCATGAGATGCCCCTGGTACCTTTTTCATAGGCTTTTTTGAGTTTGGGCAAGGACACAAGGGCCCCATGATCCCCTAATGCCAGGGGCCCCATGATGTTGCCACATCATTGCTTACTATGTGTAAAATCTGTGAATGATCACAGAGATCACATGGTACAAGGCTATTCACAACAGCCTTGTACCATGTGACAAGCTGTGACCAATCATAGCTCGCACAGTATTTCTCAATGGCTGCAAGAATGCAGCCAGAGAGAAGGAGAAATGATTGCTTTTACAGCCTTTATGAGTGTAAAAGCAATCAGTGTAAAAAAAAAAATAAAATCTTCATCATCCCCCACAAGTAGTACAGTGTCACCATGGTGACACTGTACTGCTAGGGTGACAGTATGTAAAAAAAACCCCATAAATAATAATATAAAATAAAAATGAAAAAAAAAAGTTTAAAAATTATAATTTTTGGTTATAAACTAATTTGGGTTATTTTTTTTTTATTTTACTAAAAAGATAATGGAATTCATTTTGGCCAAGATTTATGATGAACTATTATTTATTTGCTAAATTTTTAAATTTTTTAAAAAAAATTTTTAAACATGTTTTTTCAAAATTTTTGGACTCTTTCATTTACATAGCAAAAAAAAAGAAAAATCCCAGTGGTGAATAAATACCACCAAAATTAAGCTTTATCTGTCTCAAAAAATGCTAAAAATTCATATGGGTACAGTGTTGCATGACTGCGCAATTGTCATTCAAAGTGTGATAGCACTGAAAGCTGAAATTGGCCTGGATAGGAAGGGGGTAAAAGTGTCCGGACTGGACGTGGTTAAAGAAGTACAGTCAAAGCTGTACTTCTGTGGATCACAGGGGAGTAGTTCATTCTGAACTCCTGTGACCCATTTTCAGCCGACAGCGGGCTAAAGTCTGCTGTCGGCTGACATCACAGAGCCAGTCTAGGCTGGGGAAAGATCATGACCATATGGTTGGGATCCACGCAGGAGCCTGGAGCGGCACCTGGATTAGCCTCTCAGTGAGCTACTTGGAGTCTGAGCCAATCACTCCCTCCCCCTCTACAGCCCAGCACTCCATGCTGCATCCACCTAGGTAAGTATGATTTAAAAAAAAAAATCCAATACTTCTCTTTTAATTTACAGCATTTGTTCACACCTGCCTAAAACATTTTACTCTAAAAATGAAACAAAAATACACACACTTAGTACATACCTCAGCATATTGAAGTGCTTTTCTAGAAGTGCTTCAACGCTCAACATGAGGATTATTATTGTATCCTAGGGTGCCTGTTCATACCTGAGCGTTGTTCTGCTTTAGCTTGTTGCTGGAATCTCAAAAAATTGCATGAGCTTTTTTGGGACAGAGTTGCGTGTTTCTGGCCCGTATAGATTTCAATGGGAACTCCTGAAAAACATGCACAAAGCACGTTTTTTGTATGATTACTTGTCTCCTCTTCTCCTAGTAACTAGCTTTCCATTGGCTAAAACAACAAGGTTTAAGTCTGAAAACACCTGAAAATTTCTATACAAACGAGTATTAACCACTTCAAATCCGGACACTTTCACCCCCTTCCTGTCCAGGCCAATTTTCAGCTTTCAGCGCTATCACACTTGACAATTGCGCGGTCATGTAACACTGTACCCATATGAATTTTTTTGCATTTTTTTTAGATAGATAAAACTTTATTTTGGTGGTATTTATTCTCCACTGGGATCTTTATTTTTTTGCTATATAAATGAAATCCAAACATTCTGAAAAAAAGTGTTTTTCTTATAGAATTTTGCAAATAAATAATCTTTCTTCATAAATCTTGACCAAAATGTATTCATCTATCTTTTTAGTAAAAAAAAAAAAAAAACCCAAATTAGTTTATAACCAAAATGTTTATAATTTTCAAAAACATTTTTTACATTTTTATTTTTTTTTATATTTTTAGGTTTTTTTTTTTTAACATATCGTCACCCTAGCAGTACACAAAAAAGGAACAGTGTCACCATAGTGACACTGTACTACTTGTGGGGGGTGATGAATATATATATATTTTTTTTACACTTATTGCTTTTACACCCATAAAGGCTTTTTTTCCTTCTCTCTGGCTGCATTTTTGCAGCCATTGAGAAATACTGTGCGAGCTATGATTGGTCACAGCTTGTCACATGGTACAAGGCTGTTGTGAATAGCCTTGTACCATGTGATCTCTGTGATCATTCACAGATTTTACAAATAGTAAGCAATGATGTCAGAAGTGACATCTTATTTACTACTCTTCATGTGATCACTGATTGGCCAATCAGTGATCACATGATTGGGATCTCACACAGATGTCCCGTACAAAGATTGGTGTTCCTAGGGAGCGCGCACAGGCAGGGAGGCGGGAGGACGTTTATAAATGGCCACCCGCCCCTGCACTGCTCCCGTCTGGCCATTTATATACATGGGCTGGACAGGAATTGGTTAAAAAACACCTGAAGAAGCTTATGTTTAAAATAGAAAAAAAGCTTAACTATAACTATTCTTAAAAAATGTCCCGTCCCCCCCCCTTTCTCCCCCCCCAAACATCCTGCCAAAACTGTATAAAAAACATCCATGTACTTACTTATTTTTAATCTGCTGCAGTACGGCCACATGATCCCGCAGCTTCAGGTCCCCTGTCTCAGAGAGCAGCTGCTGCAGGGAAGAGGAAGGAGTGCCGACAACAGCTGAGCTACGGAGCTGGCTCCTGGAATTCACAATCGTTGTCAAGTCCTACCTTACAAAGATCTACAGGGTCATGTAACCAGAATGGAGAGGATTGAAAATAGGTAAGTGCACAGATCTTTTTTGTATACATGTTTTTATACATTTTTATATCTGATTTGTACTATACTAAGTCCAATAATTCGCTTCGTAATGAGTATCACATTCTGTCCTTTGGCACCCTCACATTCTCCCATCTCTATCTGTACCCCACACTGTTTACTAGCACTCTCACATCCCATCATCCTTTCCCCTCCCTAACCTCCATTTCATGAGTTGCCCATTCAGTATACTACCACCCTTGCAACCCCCTTCAGCCTTCATCTGATGAGTACTCTGTTTTTTGGTTCTTTGCCAGCCCCTTTTATGGGATCAGCACCGTATTATGTCCAATGAGTCCCCACCATTTTTATGAACTTTGTTTGATGTGCACCTTCACCTTTACTGCCCCTCTGTTGGTTTCTATGACATTGGCACATCAACCAATGTGTCCTAGCAACCAAAGACCCTGTGTAACTGTGCGCCATTGGGTGCTAGGTTGCAGGTGGTTGGGATGCAAAGCTTCTATGGTAGTTAGAATGCAGGTGGCTGGGATGCACATCTTCCATGGTTGCTAGGACACAGGTGGCTGGGTTGCACAGCTTCCATGGTTGTTAGGATGCAGATGGCTGGGATGCACAGCTTCCATGATTGTTAGGATGCAGATGGCTGGGATGCACAGCTTCCATGGTTGTTAGGATGCAGATGGCTGGGATGCACAGCTTCCATGGTTGTTAGGATGCAGATGGCTGGGATGCACAGCTTCCATGGTTGTTAGGATGCAGTTGGTTGGGATGCACAGCTTCTATGGTAGTTAGAATGCAGGTGGCTGGGATGCACATCTTCCATGGTTGCTAGGACACAGGTGGCTGGGTTGCACAGCTTCCATGGTTGTTAGAATCCAGGTGGCTGGGTTGCACAGCTTCCATGGTTGTTAGGATGCAGATGACTTGGATGCACAGCTTCCATGGCTGCTACAATGCAGGTGGCTGGGAGACCCAGCTTCCATGATTGTTAAAATGCAGGTGGCTGGGATGCACAGTTCCATGGTTGCTAGGATGCATAGCTTCCATGGTTGCTAGGATGCAGGTGGCTGGGAGGCCCAGCTTCCATGATTGTTAAGATGCAGGTGGCTGGGCCACACAACATCATTGGTCATTTTGGCATAGGTGGTGCCAGCATACTAGTAATCAGCTCAGCCATGCTGCCCTGTGTGTACAAGGCAATGTTACTGACCTGTAGTGAGGATGACGTGTCCAGTATGGATACTCCAGCCTCAGTACCCCCCCAGTGCATGCCACTTAATTGTTGGCATGCCCTTGTGCACCTTACTAAGTCTCATGGTCCTCCCCCTGTATTTAATGTGTACAGTTAGAGACAGTGGGTTTGGTTTTAGTGTTACCGTTCCCCTGTTCTCATGCAGGGCTTAAAGCGGAGCTCCACCCAAAAGGGGAAGTTCCGCTTTAAGGACTGCTCCCCATTAAGAATTGGCACCATTGGGGGTACCCAAATTTAACAGGTACCCGCTCCCACTTCCAGTCTGATCGCCTAGGCAGTCGGAAGCGGAATGTGTCCTCCCTCCCTCCCTGTAGTCTTTTGGGGCACATGACAGGTCCCAGAAGACTACAGGACCATTCATGAAGCGCAGCGCTACTCGTGCATGTGCAGTGGGTACCCGGCTGTGAAGCCGCAAGGTATCACAGCCGGGTGCCCACACTGAAGATGCCGGCCTCCTGGAATACAGGACGGCCGGTGAAACGGGCTGCGGGGGACACACCGCAGGACCGAGGGACAAGTAAGTGGCTGTTTTTTTTAAAAGTCAGCAGCTGCAGTTTTTGTAGCTGTTAACTTTTATTTTTTGACAGGGTGAGTGGAACTCCGCTTTAAGGAACGGGTATATTTTTGTAGTCTGCACAAAGAAGCAGTGTATACATGACGTGTTTGGCGTGTATTTCTGTTACATCTTCACATAAAACTGTCCTGTGACAAAAGGCGTAGATGCCGTGTTATGAACACAAGTGACAGTGACTCCTCAGTGACACACACACAGAATTCCTTTCATCCAGCGATCGCTGCTCACACTGCCTTTCTGCACTCACTACCAAATGGTATTTGTCAGAAGTAATTGGCCAGCGCCCGAGGCAGTCTTCAAGGCTGTCTGAATGGAAAATCTCTGAGCACTACGTTGAAAGAAAATATTACATTTGATCTTTTTTTTTTTATTGTACTTGCAGACATGATGTATGTCTGCATTCTTTAACATGAAGACACTTATCCCCCCGTCACCCCTCCTGAGAAAAAGAGGCTTGCTTATAGGAAGTATAATTTTACAATTAATTCACAGCATGGATATGGAACAACCACAGATTGCACAGTTAAAAGCTTCTTATGAAAATCTTAGCATAACAGTTAAATGTCATGTACTACTGGTGGTTCAGTGTGCTTTAGATAGAGTGGGTAAGGGATAGAAATTGGGGCCTTTTTTATTTT